AGTGTGATACATGTTCTTCCAAGCTTTATGCGATGTGATATTGATACAAGATAATTAACAGTCTTCCAATGCATTCCGATGCCACAGGGACCAACTGCTCTGGACCCCCTCCAACTCAGTCCACGTTGTGCTTAGTTGCCACCGTATCCCTCCATTGCCTCCCGCACGCCGTTCAAACCGCCCTCAGTCCGAGGCTCAAAGAACACATGGAACCTCGCCGGGTGTGCATTAGCGCTCTCGGTGAAGTCAAGCTCGTCGATTGTGTATTTCGGGTCCTTGCGCACGTTGAACGCCCACTGGATGAGCGCGGTGTTGAGCATGACAGATCTGTTCGAAGAAATCGTCGTCAGCATCTCTGTGCTGGGAGAATGGGAAAGAAGTTTTCGGGAAACTTACGCAGTGGCGATGTACTGCCCAGGACATATCCTCCGTCCGAATCCGAAGGGATAAGAGCGCAGATCTTCCCGAAGCGTTCCGTCTTCGCGGAGCCAGCGCTGAGGGTTAAACTTTTCGGGGTCGGGGAAGACGCTGGGGTCGCGGCCGACGGACCATACGTTCCCAATGACAGTAGCCCCTTTGGGGATCACGTAGTCCTTCCAGATGATGTCCTTTGTCGCCTTGTGGGGAAAGCCTGATAGGGGATTATTAAGTTACACTGGATGAAAAGCCAAAAGCGAAGAAGATGACGCACCACCAGCGGTAACGGGCCTCCACCTGAAACTCTCGAGAACAAAAGCCTGCAGTTGGGGCATGCTTCCGCCCTCGTAATCTGCGATTGTGGGCGGGCGGTCGCGGCCCACGACGACGTCGAGCTCTTCCTGCACCTTGCGTGCAGCCTCGGGATAGCATGCAGCAGCGAGGACACCGACGGAGATGGCGGATGCGGTTGTGTCAGAGCCAGCACCGAACAATGCACCGGCGAGGTATGCGGTCTCGTCGTCCGATAGCTGGAGTGTCTGCTGGCGTTCGAGAAGGTACTTGGCGAAAGACTCAGGTATGGATTCGCCGCGTTCCTATTGAGTCAGATAAGCTTAGCTTGTACGGACGGAGCTTCTTGAAGAGGAAACGAGACACACTATCTGAGCCCTCACAACTGCGAGATGCTTTTTGAAGAGGGCGAGCTCCTCCCGATGTCCCTCCTTGAGCTCATCGAGGTAGCCGGGGATATAGCGAAGAATGGGGTAGTTGTCGACTTGCCAGAGACCGGGGCGCACGTTCTCGCCGAGGCGAACGAGGCAGCGGTTGACGGCTTGTACATCAGGATCGTCGTGCTTTCCAGCGGCTTTACCGTAGGCGAGGGCCATGACTACTGAAGCAGAGTACCTGCGGGGAGATAAGATTAGTGAACGCCATGTAAATAAAATGATAAACACACCTTTTCGCATGCTCTTGGTGAATATCAGGCTCGTTAATGATATCGAGGATGTGTGTGCGGGCATTTGCCATAAGGACGGGACCATAACCTTGTACTACTTTTGGTGACAGGTGTGCATGAAGCGCCCTTAAATTTAGAGATGAATGTGTTATTATTACGATGACGACATTGCAGTACGTACTTGCGCATCTTCTTGAACCGCTCACCAGCGGGTGTGAGCACGACCCTCATCCCGCCCGACAATGTCTCACCCGCTGCGATCGACAGCGGCCTGTCTACAAGCGCAGCACCCTCACGCTCCATAACGTCCACAGCACAGTCATATCGCCCGATCACAATGATGGTGTTTGTTCCCTGGCGAAGAGTGAACATCGGCCCATAGATCTTAGTCCATTCTTCGAACTTGCGATAGGCGAAGACGGAGGGAATTTTGTTACCCAAGAGCCACGACTCTTCTGGTGGGCCAGGTGGGAGCGTTGACGGGCGATGTGTGAGTTTACGATGAAGGACACCAACGAGGGTCGATGCGAGGACGAGTGCAGCGATGGAATGCGGCGTCGCGAGTGTATCGACGACAGACAACATTGTTGTGTAAAAGACAAAGCGTGCACAATAAGGGGGTTATGAAGGATCCGGGGAAATCTGGGAGATCCGGGGGCAGACTGTGGGGTATGTATTTTAAGATACCAGATCGCGTGGAGGTGTATTTATACGGAAACATAAACCGCGACCGCTGCTCCCGCATCTCAAGAAGACATACAAACTATTGTATACCTTCGTTCCCTTATCGAGACCCTTACCTCTTTGCTTCCTGCTCGAGGTTCCGCCATTTTTCCTGTTGCCCTTGTGACTTCTCATTGACGAATTTCATGGCGAAGGCCACTCTGCAAATGGGTCGAGGTAGCGAGGAAGTAAGCACAAGATCCCTGATCAGGAAACTCGATCATGGAAACTGAAGTGATCGGAAAGCTCGGCTATTTCATTCTTGTGCCTCTCACATGCATGTGCCTCGTCCGATGGGCACGCACGGTCTTCTGAATCCTTTTCTTAAGTGCGAAGCCTCCATACCAGGCCATTACTGGCGATAAGACGACATCACTGAGCATCGGTAAGTCCGACGTCCAACGTATCGGTCGCTATGCACGAGATAACTCGCCACCCTTTGTGCCCACGACGCCGTTGCTGTTACGTATGCTGACTTCGGGTTTGTTTTTCGCACTCCCAGACACGACGTCGTGTAACAGAACCATTTGTATTCGGCATGCTGATGTTGAATGACAGAACTACGAAACACCAAGCTCGCCGTTTGGCTTCCTAGGCCAAGGATTCCTCGGTGGCTTCGGTTCCATGTAGCACGCAACGAATTCTTTGATTCGGCGTCCCGTAGTGGCCATCATCGAGAAGCACAAATTGGGCGCTGAATAGTCGAGCTTCGAAACGTTGATGTGCTCAGCATCGCTGACAAGCTGTGCTTCTCAAAGGTCAGCGGCCCGGATATCGCGCGCCACCTTTTGCTCTCGAGCCAATCTCGAAGTCCAACTTAGGTATAGTCTACTGTCTTCAATGTATGTAAATGAATATCTCGATATTTGATGACGTCTACTGAATATCAAGGGTAACTTGAACTAGCGCCCTCGCTTGTGATCCTATGTATTTGGTGTGCTGATCTGGGCACTGACGTCTCGTACTTTCATAACACGCATGGGCATGGGGCTTTTCTGCTGTGTTTTCTGGCCCCTTTCCCTTTTCCTGTCGAGCTGGCCGAGGAATCGCGATCAAAGCTGCTTCTCCTTCCTCCTCCTTCCTCCTTCCTCCTCCTCCTCCTCCTCTTCCTCCATACTGCAGGCCCAGCTTCCTGGGTTCCATTGCAAAATATGAGCCGCGTTGGCTCAGTGGGAGAGCGTCTCACTCGTATCGTCTTCGATGGAATCGACACGACTTGTACATGAGAAGGTCACTCGTTCAATCCGGGTACGCGGCAAGGTTTTGCAGTCTGTGCCCATCTCTTTATTATTTTATCTTGTCCATACAAGAGGCCTCACACATTGCACGGCCCCGCTTTTAACACAATTCGAAGGCTCTGAAAGGAGTTAGTCCGTGTCACCAGTCACAGTGGTTGTCTGATTTTTCATAAATTTATAACACACGTGAAAAAACAAGCGCGCGCTTAGAGGTAACTAGCCTTCTTGATTCTCTCCCGTTGTTGTCCGAAATTCGACTACGGATTCATGGACTTGTTGCATGGAAAACGGTCCGTTGATGATGCTGATGGTCAGGACTGGATAGGCACACTGCCTTTCGTCAGTTCCAACTGGTGCCTCATGACAAATCCACGTACAGAGACAGACCAGTAAATGCTGTGAAAGACAGCAAATACCACGGAAGTATGGTTGGCTTGAGTGATGACTTGTATGAGCAAAAAAACGAGCTGAGGAGGGCCAGGCAGATATAATGAGTAATTGGGAACGTTATGTGAATATAGACAAGTCCGCACTTGTAGAGCGCCATAGATAGCACCTGACTCGAGTAGTAAGAGCAGTATACGCCACGACGTGAATTGATGCTGATGCCTCCCCATGCGCTTCAAAAAGTTCAGGTTTCCCCTGGTAAGTTGATGTGATCCATCAAATAGGGTGTTCTATCAATCACTACATACCAGAGAACATATGCAATGAACCCCGTTGCCACAGTATTTGTTGCAAAGGAGAGAACCAAAAAGGCAACCTCCAGCAAAGAATTTGATCCGCCAAGTCCTTTTCGTGAATTGCGAGACTCCAAGGCAAGGTTCGCGAATGTGACGCCTATCCTCCATTAGAACTGGACCGCCAAGACACATGCGAGTGGCAAATACCAAATGTAGATAGGCACAGAACAAGGCATGGATAAAACACCCATCGTCGTGTTCCGGAAATTGTCCAAGCTCGCCAAATGATAACAGCGTCATTGAGAGCCGGCTGCGCATGGAAACAAAGCTGGGCATTGGTCATATAAAATAATCCAAGAGTTTACTCACCGGCAGGAGTTGCATCCAGTTCAACGCCAGGTTAAAGTATATGACACGTGAATTGGTAGACGCCATGTTATCCCTGATACTGGCGCCCCCGTCGAATACGCCGAGAAGAGTAACAATAATGCACAGTGTTACCGCAACAGCTGTAGTCATTGCAAGAAGGCCGACGACGCCCACTCCTATCAGTGCAAAGTGAAAGGCAGACCGGTGCTTTCGTCTGTCAGGGACAAGGCTTGTCAGTGAATTCAAATGAGTGAGCCCGAAACACAAGAAAGATATATACTGAATGAGGGAGTGTATAACAAACAAGGATAATGGCGCAAATACTCCTGATCAGAGAGGGAGCCGTTCAGAAATCGTAACCTGGATTCTTAAAATTTGTTTTACCCCATAGAAAGAAAACTGGTGCTTGTGAGAACATGATTTTATCGAGCAGCTGACGGCCGCATGATTGAAGAAGTCGTCGCTCTGCGGGTGTCATAGGGCCTTATTAGAAGGAAATATGTAGGCTGGCTGGAAGCCATAGGACTCCAGATGCAATCGGCTTATATCCAGAACCTGTATTTACGTTAAAGGAGCCAAGCCAGCAACAAAGTCGCTCCTATCATTACACAATGGAGAGAATATCACTGATTTCATCTGTCATTGTCAGTTGTCAGCGTTCCCAATGAATTATTCAATCATGAAGAATAGAAAACCATACTTCGACAAGCGAACGCGAGCGGCTTCAAGTGGTAAGTTACTGGAATTTATAATCGATAAAGTCTTATTATGAAATTATTCAGCTGGATGATCAGTCAGTTGATATCAATTGATATTGGAAGATACTGTTCTCCCACACTAGAATAATACTTCACAGATCCGCATCGTTGTCATGATCATGCCTCGAGAATTATTCTGCGCCCTAGGTATTTGCACGACGAGAGCCCGACTGTCCGACCTGAGAGACACTCGAATATAACATTGGTGCCCATAACTGAGGTTTATGGGGAAATATTGTTGCGACAAGAGGTGAAAATTACGAACCTCGTTCATAATTCATGGGTCTTCACAATCTTGGCAAATGATTCAAGGCGTCTACCCGTAAGAGCGGTGACGAGGAGTGAGGTGAGAGT